TGTTCGATTTTACACATACGTGAATGTATCTGTAAAGGCGGCGTTCTGAAGGTCATGAGTGAAAAACAATTTCGTTCAATACAACGAAATGGAGATTTCTATCAGGTCAACAACTGATACAATACACTGAATTCTCCACTTGAATGTTTTTGTTGTCTAGCGATATTACATGGGATCCATGAAAATGTGCCATTCAGATTACTATTTCAAGCTGTGAAAGGCTTTGTTTGCAACACAAACCGCCCACAAATCTAATAGCCATCTTCCATGGTATAAATCATGATGAAAAATACGTCTGATGACCAATCTGAGTTGGTGGCCTCAAAAATCGACATATAATGCCAATATCAAAAAACAAAAACTTGCTAAATTGAGGACATCTCTGCAGATTAGCCTTTGGCTTTCGGAGAAATTGTTTCCCTACTGACACTCTCGCTGAACTACATTCATTATTGTTATGGCAGGGTGAGATTTGCAATATTCAGCGTGTTCTTGAGTTTTTGCGCAAAAGCATACATTTGACAAATAATGAACAAAGCAGTCCAGTGATTTTGAAGAGTACTAAACCTTTCGCTAATTCAATTAACATTTAGATAGACCTAATGGGATAAGCTCACATCATTCTTCTCGTGATGTCTTTACTGGGTATTAATTCGAAATTCATGACGAAATTATTCATCTTTGAAAGAGACATGTCATTTTCACAAAAGACAGCTCTGATGTAGTGAGTTACAGTAATTATATGAATATCACTATCATGCGAACCTTCTTTATATGTGAGAACCCCACTTCCCCTTACCGTAAAGTCATTTATCAACAGTTCATTCACCCATAATATTTTGGTGAATATCAACAAATAGCTTGACTTCGAAATTAATTGACGACCGTCCTGATGACGTCTCTCCATACAATATTGACGGCTCTTTAGCGCCGTGATTGTGGTCGCTTAAATTACTTTGGGCTCGTTGTGGTTGAATGGGGATACTAGAGTCGTGGAACTCTCATTGTAGGGCCGTAATGATCAAATAATGCCCTTAGGTCTTTACCCGGTTGTACTCCATGATTTTTTCAACCCCAAAGTATTCCAAAAGTGTTAGCGCCAACAAACAAACTGGCAGTCATATTCAGTACGCAAGTTTATGACCTCAATCAGTCACTTGTCAAAGGTCCTTTTTCTAATTGAGGAGTTTTTGATGATCTTGGCGACAATCACAAGGAAATGAGTAGTTGCAACGACCAACTCGTTTAAACGAGCACAAGGGAGTATATCCATGCAAGCAATAGCACTAACGAATGCTAGTACAGAAAGTGCTCTGTCATTTGTTGGTACCTGAAGTTTTTCCAATGGGGTTGGTTATTGCAGTATTGATTTGATGGTGACGTTCTCGCGGAGAGCTTTGGTGACGAATAACACACTGAAATTCTTTTCGAAAATTCAATAAATTAATTTGAACCAAAGAGTAGAAAAAGGATGTCAAAATGGTGTGATAGATTTCTGGACCCAAAAATTGTAATCCGAGAATTACGACAGCGAGGTCGGTTAGGATAACAAAATAATATTTCAAGCTGACCTAATATGTGGTGCTCGAGTGCATAATGCTCAAGGTCACTATTGATGACGTTATGTATAGTCGATAATTATTACGAGAAGCTCATCCCACAACAGAGAATTGAATGTACTAGTCTAAATGGCGTTTATGGAGCTCCATCAATTGTGTCTCAGCGTGAGCCGCATTTTATGCCTCGTGTGAAAAACATACAACGTTGCACAAGTGTGAAACTCTGGAAATTACATCCGCTTTAGCTCCGCCCTTTCGTCCGGTGAATCGATCGTGGTTGTTTTGCTATTCCAAGTGGTTGGGTCTCACGCAGAGAGGTCGCGGTAAAACTGCAACTACAGATTGCAGACAGGAAATTGCGCTTTAGCGGGAAATAGAGGCCAGCTCCATCCTTTTCACCAGTTCAGGAAAGAATTCGTCAGCATTCATTCAACTTGGCCCAACCACATGCATGAAAGTCCAAACAGACAAGTATGGCTGGGTAAAAACTGACAGCTGCCGACGACTATTGATGCTAACCACAAAATCAGGAATTAGACACAAGACAGCTTGCGCCATAATTGATACAAGGTACACCATGTACCGCCAATTTCGCATTATTGGGGGTTTTGAGCACTAGTTTGGCGCACCCTCAACTTCAACTGTCGCACCTACTGCCGGACCCTCGGAAAATGAATTTCGGATTCTCATGCTTCCGTTGTCGCATTGATGTCGTAAAATAGAGTTACGCTTGTCGTCGTTGCGGTTCGCGGTGTCGGAAATTCTCGACGTGATTGTCGGGTGCGTGTCGAAATTTATTCAAAAGTCGTCGCATTCACATGCGGTTTTTTCAAGATTAGTGACGGACGTGGTGTCGCTCGATCTACATGTTTAGCCTTCGCCAGACCGGTAAAAGTTCTCGAAATTTCGACAACAGGACTGACAACGGTTCCCAGAATTCCGACAACAGGTCCGACAGCGATTCTCGACATTTCGACAATTTCTCACGGCAAGTGCGAAATTGAGTCTGACACGAACTGCGACTACGTACAACCGCGAATCCGAAAAGCCAAGCGTCACCGCTGCCATTTTTTCCGACTCCCGGTGCGCAATCCGAACTCTGTAGTTCGACATCCGGTCCGACATTGTAGTCGCACAAACCACCAATTTATCAATTGGCGGTAAGAACCGCAGACAAGGGGTGTGCTGTATTTGGACGTTTCGGAAGTGACCTTAGAATTGTATTTGAATATGAAATAGACGGTGCAGAAGTTGTCCAATCATCTTACGGAACCTGATTAATAGGAGCAATGTGGAAATCATTTTCCGCAAATGGCGCTTTGGGTGCTTTGGTGGCGTCTTAGCATGTGGGTAATAATATTTCATGCACTAATCCCGACATCATAACGGATCATCTTTCCCAATCAGGAACGGAATACGGAAAAGTCGGGGCCGACAGGCGCCGTGCTTGGTCAAAGGCCGACCTGGTCGTACTTTTTGTTCGGTAACTGCGAGTGCAGTCGTACAATGCATCAGGAACTCCGTTAGAATTATTTTCTGGGACAACGGGCTCGGGTGCATTGGACATGCCACATGTGCTGTTGTACACAATTAAGCCCCAGAGCGGATTTAACATTTATACGTTCAGGTCCCACGATACCGGAGTTATAACTTGAATAGCAAAGAGAATTCAGGGGCATCGTTCGTAAGGGCAAACCATGACAGGACAAAATGAGTAGCGGTATCAAGATAAAAGCAAGAACAGCAGTGTTACCATGCACTTTACTCTTGAAACCAGGCTGTCGGCGGACATCAATTTGCGGGCATTTGGCGCCCTTAAGCAGTGAATAGCATAATCACTAGGGACCGGCTCGGTTGTAAAGCTTGGTCATCCGAGTGACATCATCGCACCGCTATTCTAAAAAGTAGATTATTTTCTTTCGCGTGCGGGGCGTGATGCCACCTTACCGTCGACAACAAACCGCTCATCGTAACACTATTCCATCTGCGGGATCCCCCAACAATTGGCGATGTTTGTGGCTTATCTGTTGAACACGCTTAATCCCCATACGTCAAACCCAAGATGACACCCC